TTGAACATATATGTATATTTATAAATTTAATTTCTATGCCATGTTGCCATTTAAACATACAGTGAATTTTGCAGGCTAAACCTCTCATTCTGTTTCCTCAAGTTTATAAACTTTAGAAGTTTTAATAAGAGCTCTAGTTAATTGATAAGTAGTATTTTGTCTATTACCAGAAATAGTGTCTAAATACTGAAAGGAATTTGACCAATTTTTTGTGCTTAACTTGGAGCTGATTTCAGCATTTGCATTCCATTTTATTGTTGATTTGTTTTAATTTCCATATAGCGTACTGCTTTTCATTTTATCCATGCAATTACTTCTCTTTAGCTATACTGTTTATACATATACTTTTTTACTAAATATAAATTTTATACAAAAATATTAGTCCTTTGTAACTATGTCACAAAATAAATTGTGATGATTTGTGGTATAAGCACCTATATTAAAATTTCATTGATATTCTATTTTCAATGCATGTACGGGCCATTTAATTAACATTGTGATTTGCCCTGTGAAATGATATGTCTTTTCTACCCTTGAGCTTGAAAATAGAAGCAGCTATAAATCTAAAAATACTCCAAATAATGCATTCTAAAAGGAGTAGCTTCACAATGACAAATACTGGACTTGTCTGTCAACATGTGAAATCACAGATAAATAGCCAAAATCAATTGTACAAGCACTGCCACACCAACCTAGTTTTATGGAAAGTAGCTAGCTCCGTGCTATTTTGGTTGTGTGGTTTAGTTAAAGAAAACATTGCATCAGTCACACTGCTTGTTCTGTTCACTTCATGGATAGTGCAACTAGGACTGTGCTAACAATAGACACTTCATAAGCAATTTTTGAACAAATGAATTTTATTATAAATCTGGCAACACATCAATGAGAGGCTTGCTTTACTTTCATGGCAAAGTTTTAAACATATGGTAACAGTGAGTTTTTAAGTGGGCACACCTTTCAATTTCATTATTCAAATGTATTTAAAGAACTTTCCTCTAAAACTTGCTTGAAAAAAGGAGATTGTGAGAGCTTAGAGGAAATCACATAGAATGCCATCTCAAAGGTGTTCCAGTGAATCATTCCTTCTGCCTTAGTTTTGCTTAGAAGCAATTTTTAAGTGGAAAATAATGATTGTCTTGAAATGAATTTTTTGTCCTTCCTTATTGAACTGTCTGGAGGAAGTCATTTGCTTTTGATGTTTGTAAACATGAGTACATGCAATTATATTAATCATTATGAAGCTCATACAGAGCTCCTTAAGTGTTGCAAAACAGCAGTATTAATTTGTCACATAAAAATACTGAAAGATACATGTCCATAGTGTATGCTGAAACAAGAAATTTGGTTTGATATATTTACATATGTATTGCATTATCCAGATTATACATAATATATTGAACTGATATTGTTTTTACTGCAAATTGCTTTTTTATTTTTGTTCCTCATTTTATTAGCTCTTTGAGAAATGTACAATATATTTTGATTGATCATATTCACCTCCCTTGCCTCAAATGTTCCCATGTCCATCCCCACTGCTCTACCCACCAAACTTTGTGTACCCCGCTTTTTTAACCCATCATTTTCAATTTGTGATGCCCATTGGCTGTGTGACCATCCACTGGAGTTTGGTTGACATACCAGGAACCCACACTCTTTAAGAAAACAGACTCCTCTTCTCCTGTACCTAGCAGCTGTCATTGCCAATAGCTCCTCAGCTACAGATAGGACATTGTGCTAATCTCCTCTCTCCATGCTGAAATTTTTTCTGGCTTGAGCTTGTGAAGGTATTGTGTATGTTGTTATAACAGCTGTGAGTTCCTATGCATACCTTCCTTATTGTGACTGGAAAACATTGTTTCTTTGCAGTCATCCACAGCCTCTGGCGCTTATAGCCTCTCTGCCACCTCTTGTGAAATGATCCTTGAGCCTTGGGAGGAGATGGTATGATGTAGAGATAGCTCATTAGGACTGAGCACTCCACAGACTCTTATTATCTCTGCATGTTGAGAAGTTGTGGGTCTCTTTAATCACCATCTGCTGCCAAAAGAAGCTCTTCTGATGAGGTTTGAGAGATGCACTAATCTATGTGTATAACAATAAGCCATTAGGAATAGATTTGATACTACATCCATTTAGCAGAATAATAGCAGTAAATTCTCCCCTAGACTCTATGACCTCTCTAGCCATGGGTTCTTGACCCCAAACAATGGCAGGCTTGGATTCCGATTTGAATACCAGGTCTTAAATTCAATCAGAACATGGCACTAAGTGGTACTTATGCCACTTAGCTTTCGCAGTGTTGGTAGGTGCTATGGTGTCTACTGGAGGATAAAAGGAATCATCAAGTTCACCTATATGTGGACCCTGGGAGCTACAATGATAATTGGCCTGGCAATTTATGCTCCGATAATATTTAAAGATGGCTTGCAAAAAAATTTTTTTAAGTTAACAAATCTACCTATTTATACTTTAGCTACTTTTGATCATGGTGGGTCTTTACCCTGCTTTTAGCCTCAGTTATGAAACTGGCCAGTGAAACCTTATTCTGAAAGCAAAGGTCTGAATCAAATGATCCAACACTAACAGACACACAAGTGTCTGTTTCTAGAACCTCCTGGTACTTCTGAAATGCTCCTTTACCCAGTGACCCTTCTCTAACCCAAAACTAATCCTCACTTCAGCTCTTGATACCTTTCTTTTGCTTTTTTAAACTTATTCTATTGTTATTTTCTTATCTTATTAATTTAAAGCTGCCCTTTCCCTTTTAACTCTGAATTACTATGAGAGTAAACCCAGACCCTCTCCTGATACTATGTTTCTGCCTTCTCTCACCCTCAAATTCTACTTTTCTTTTTCTACTCAAGATTTTTGAAAGATCTTTCCTATTATCTTTTGTTTTAGTCTCTTTAATTTTTTTAGAGAACTGTTTTTTCCTATACTGAAATTGCTTTTATAATAGGGAAAATGGGCACCGTATCAAGTGATGTCAACATTTTCGTTCTTAGTCCACTATATTCTGAAATTCTTTCCCTTTGCTGACCTGTAATTGAAAGTCCCCTGTTTTAACTTCATGTAAGTTTTGACCACTTGCCTGAAGGAATACTCATTGAACATCTCTGTTCCAGAGTTCTATCTAAGGTATAACTCTCCGACAACTTTTACTGTTTTTATTACTCAAAGCCACTGGACAGGGTGGCACACGCCTTTAATCCCAGTACTCAGGAGGCAAGGACAGGTTGATTTCCTGACAGCTTGGCCAGCCTGGTTTACACAGCACCTTTCAGAGCATCTGGTGTTAAAAGGAGACCCTGTCTAAAAAAAAAAAAAAAATGAGGATAAAAGAAAACACAAATGTCTGAGGGCATCAGGCATCGGCATCCTTTGCTCACATACTGGCCACTGCCACAATTCATTCCAAACTTTGCGAATGTTTGCTAGTCTTCTCTCCTCTCCAGCATGTTCACATTCATCCCCATAGAACATCATATTGAGGGTTTTTTTTTTTTTGATGCTTTTGTCTGTGTCTTAGTGTTTACCATGTGGTACTCAATTTCAAAGTTTTGTTGACAATTTTGCAGAAATATCTACAATATTAAAAACACCATTAGCCCATTTACTATTCCCAGTCATATAATCCTGGCTCGATATTAAACAAAATATCATTTTATGACATTTCTGAGCACTCATTCCCCCCTAAATTATTGGCTCACATTCTGAATTATGTATACTGTCCTGTTTTTCAAAAAGCCCTAGTATTTCATGATTGAATATTCACATTTCAAGTCCACTAATCATAATAATACCATGGTTATTTTAT